GGAATTTATTTCACGAGTGGGACAGGATTTTTTTTTATATATTTTCACGAGTGAAAATATAAGAAAATCCTGTCTCACTGGTGAAATAAATTCCATATTCATCTACAAAACATTGAATATCCACTATTTACATGTGCACATAATTTATATAACACTATTTGATCAATGTGTATCTATCACTGGATAGGCGAAGTCCGTCATATGAAAAATTCATTGTGAAGTCATTAGTGGTCGACCTTTTGACTTTATTAAGATTTGATCACATGACAAACCGTATTTAAATATCTTTTCTTCCAAAATCAAAACTCACAGTTTTCAATGATTTGAGCATCACTGAAGAGACATAATTTGTCGAAATATACATCTGGTCCATCAAAATTGGTACCGTATATGATTTAAATTATACAACCATATCTCACCTAAAAGTGGATAAAAGGCCTTTTGACATCATATGATCAAATGCAAAATTACGTTGTAAAAAGTAATTCTGATTCTGTACACGTACTCTAAACTTCATTTCAAAATATGCTTAAATTCCCAATTGACAATATGTATATGTAGTTTTGGAGATCAAGTCTTCCAATAAACTGTTGAAATTCTTAAAACATGTGGACATAAATTGTACCGCCTTATTTTCCAATTTGTTTTGTATTCTTATGAATAAAAAAAAACAAACAAACAAACAAACAAACTTCTGTTTGATTGGAAGAAAGTCTTCAGTTCGAAATTTAGATATACCTATATAAAAGACGACGGTTTATTGACATGATTCACAATGCATGTTCATTAATACAGAAAATGAACTCAAATTAAAGACACCACAGAGTTTACCACAAGAAATAGATGAGGATAACGAACAGTGATCAATCCGTACAGCCAGTAAACAATAGAAATATGGGACAGGTCAAACACGGATACCCCTGAAAACATCAGAAGTAGGATCAGGTGCCTGGGAGGACCGCCACTGTTGAAGTAAGAAAAACTTTAGCAGAAGAACAGTTTATTGATGTTCTGAGGGAAAGTGATTTCACAATATTTCCATTTCTATTTGTTTTCTCTGTGATAACTCTTTGAAAGTTAGTTGAATTGATTTCTTGATCATTCTACCGGAATGCAAATTTCGCCAAGCGAAAGGTCAGGACCTAAGAAGGCCTTATATGCATGTAATTCTCGTGCGGCTGTCTTTGTGTCTGACTCTAAGGAGGCCTAGTATGCATGTATTTCTCGTGCGGCTTTGTGTTTGACGTCAGTGGGCGGGGACTATTGAAATTGACATGTGAGGCTTCGTGTAATTTTAATCTATTAGTCTACAATTTTAAAATCTAAATTTACAATTTTATTTCACAATGAAATGGAAATATAAGGAATCATTGTCTAGTTAGTAGAGTGTGCCAGGGACATCAACGATAGTTGGAAACGTGGGATAATTTATGCATAACGGGCTTCGCAAATTATCCCACGTTTCCAACTATCTTTGATGCCCTGGCATACTCTACTAACTAGACAGTGATTCCTTAATTAAACATTCCCGAAGAGTGGACTTGAATGATGTGATGCAATCAGGCAATGCCATTGAATTAGATGCATTCAATTCAGCTGAACGACGTTTTACAGAAAGCAAAGGTTTTCTGAGGGAAGTAAAGCCAGAGGAAAAAGCAGACCAAGGAGATACTATTACTTCCCTACTGAAAGCACTTCAAGCTATCCAAAAGAAGATTTGTGAAGATGAAAATGAAGAAACAAAACTCCACAAAACACTTCTCTGCGGGTGAGACCTGTCATTACAGCAGTAAGAAAGGTCACGTGAAGAAGAAATGCTTCAAGTATCAGAATCTGATATATGGCAAGACAAATGCCAAGTCACAGCAAAGGTTTACACCTGTAAGAAATGAACAGGCTGATGAGAAGAAAAAGGATAATTCTGCAAATTGGACAGACATCAGATGAAAGGCTGATGACGCCGGTATATTTATTGATGCAATCATTAATGGATATAGGGTTAAACTACTACAAAATTCTGTTCTTAATGATCCGCACCAAGACTTGCTGAAGATTGCACTGGCACGAAAGTAGAAGGGTCTCTTTCAATTTCCCTTACATTATCGAAATCAACATTTAGCTAAACATTTGCTATAGCAGACACTGGTGTTGATGGCATCCTTGGTCTTAATTTCATGACAAACAATGATGATTGCTTGATTGATTTGACAAACTCCTCAATTATCATAAAAGGCAAATGTATATAACTTGCTTCTGAGGGGAAGATTGGATATTTTAGGCTAACTGTCGCCGAGAATGTTGGCGTTCCATCTTATAGAGAACTTACCAAGGGAAATGTTACACCACCTGTCTTTAAAATGATGGGGAATACATGCAAAAGTTCCCCCAAGACAATGTGGAAGATGCCCTATGTGTGCATATGTGTTAAGATCAAGAGAAGTTTATAAAAGTCATGCTCTGTAGTGTACTATTGGAACATTTACCTGTACTTTCTGTAACTACTCATGCAATAAGGCGATGAATGTCAAGAGACAAGAAAGATGAAGCCACCTTGGCTTGATTGAGGACACCATCAAACCTAATACTAAATATGATACTAGCAAAGCAAAAGAGTCAAGCAGTAGTTAAAGTGTGGAAGAAGAGGCAAAAAAGGCAGAGGAAGAGTGGCTTAAACAAGATTATGGGAAGATTATTGGTAATGTGTCCACTGACAGATGATGAACGTGAGTCATAAGATGCTTAACCCAAGAAAGAGGAAAGAACTCTTAATGAACAGTTGCTGGGGGATAGAGTAATAAGGAAACAGAGAGCATCCACTAGACCTCACGTTCCTAAAGTCAATTGTACATTACGGGATTTTATGGACTCCAAGTTAGCGAAAACGATGTTGTGTCGATCCTAGATTAGTCCGTCAATGTGTGGGTTATTTTATATGAAATAGTGATGATAATTGTACATTTGTCAACAGGCTGTCCAAGATTAAGGAAATACTCTTTTTTGTAATAAATGTTAACAGGTTAAAACAATAAATGCTACTATATGACGGTACTTAGCATTATGTGAACTATGAGTAAGAGTTCCTCCTTCCACCAGTAAACCAGAAGTTGAAGGCACACAAGATTAAAAATGTGACAATTGTAAGAGGAAGATATCTTTGGCGGACACTGGTATCCAGACAGAGACTATAATCAGAAGACCGTTCTGACCAGGCCGATTAAGAAGTTTCGTGAGGGCGATATTGACTTTGAGGAAGTGGTTGAAGAGAAGACAGAATTCCGCTGACTTATTGATTTTACCAAGTTGTACATTTGTGTATATGTCGGTTATGAAAGAGAGAAGAAAGAGAAATTATTTGTTTATAACTTTAAAAAATGTTGGTTGTTTATCAAACCCTTATCTTAATGTTACAATTATTTAGTTTTCAAGTCGTAAATGCGGAACGCATGTCATTGGAAGTATGGGTAGTGTAATGATTCCGGAATTTTAAGGTACGACCATGCGGAGTTCTCAATTAGTCACTGTTTACATCAAATGACATCAGTTCTGTATAAATATCGAGACTCTACAGTCGTCTGTTATGTTTGGATTCGGCCAAGAAGAGAAGAGTGTAAGTGTACTGAATAAAATATTTACGGTTAACCATCCCTCGTCTGTTTTACAGTAAGAGAGAGAAATTGGAAGGCCATTTGAGGATTGCCAAATCAGTGAAGGCCTGCGAAGAAGTTGACCAATAAATAGGATAGCCACAGTTTGCTTTCTGTCGTCTGCATTGACTGGCAAGTCCGACGTCCAGGCTGCTATACTCATTGTCCGTCCTAAACAAGGCATCCAACAGTGAGTGTAGTGGTTGAAGGGCCACCATATATACTGTCCGTCCTGAAAAATGCATCCTACAGTATATGAGGAAATTCGAGGGCGACTAGGCTCTTGTGTTTTGGTACAAATACCATTTTATTGTTGCTTTCCTCTGATTATTTTAATGATTAACCATTTAATTATAATAAATCTAGATAAGGTCAGGACGTATTTATTTTAATGATTAACCATTTAATTATAATAAATCTAGATAAGGTCAGGACGTATTTATTTTAATGATTAACCATTTAATTATAGTAAATCTAGATAAGGTTAGGACGTATTTATTTTAATGATTAACCATTTAATTATAATAAATCTAGATAAGGTTAGGACGTATTTATTTTAATGAGTAACCATTTAATTATAATAAATCTAGATAAGGTTTGGACGTATTTATTTTAATGATTAACCATTTAATTATAATAAATCTAGATAAGGTCAGGACGTATTTATTTTAATGATTAACCATTTAATTATAATAAATCTAGATAAGGTCAGGACGTATTTATTTTAATGATTAACCATTTAATTATAATAAATCTAGATAAGGTTAGGACGTATTTATTTTAATGATTAACCATTTAATTATAATAAATCTAGATAAGGTTAGGACGTATTTATTTTAATGATTAACCATTTAATCATAATAAATCTAGATAAGGTTAGGGCGTATTTGTATATTTCGGAGCCCACTAGAATCATACCAAGAAGTTCCAGACAGTTATTGTTGAACACCCCAAACCCTGGAATTGACCACGTGCGATCCAACTGTTTTATGTAAATACGTTACAGAATCCATAGGCAATGTAATTAAAAAGACAAATGATTCATTCTTTTCATGCATGTCATAAACTAATTGTTATTCATCTCATCCCTTCTGAACAGAACCTACAAATTACAGATGAAAAAGGTGAACATTATGCAGGTGAACGTAGTATATTACAACATAAATAATTAGTGGTGGAAAACCTGAGCTCACCCAGGTCCATGCTCGATCAAATAACTCTTCTAGTCTGTTTGTATAAAGCTAAATATGTTCCGATTCAAATGAAACCAATTGCAAACAGATTTTAAAAGAATACAACAGCCAAACTATATTGGTGTATTGAATATATGAATTATATTTAAAAAAAAATATAAAGTAAATGATTATACAAGTTTAATGTCAAAGATATAATGTATCAAATTTATTATCAATTGCGCACTACGATTATAAAAAAGTATTGAAATAAACTGCGATTTTAGCGAGAGCTTTATGAACCCTTTTCAAAGTTTTGCTGTCAAAAAAATATGGCACTCCTTAATTATAACGGAATGAAGCAGTAAAGATACAAAAATATAGTGTCATATCAATTGTCTAAAGGGAAATTTAAAATATTAAGGTATTCAATATATAACGACCATTTTTTGTACCTAATAAATGAATGATCCAATTTTTAAATCATGGTAGCATTTTTGAAGGTGTTATCAAGCAAAAAAACTCCACCAAAGGAATTTACCAAATTTGATTATTGTACAATTGTACCTTGAAGTTAACATTGTAGTCTATGGGCAGCGCATGTGTTATTAAGATATTGTAAAAAGTAATTTGAATTTCATACAAATCTCTTGGTGAATATGTACATAAACTCTCTCTTTATTATAATATGAAATGACATGAATCATTCACCATAGATATTTTGAAAAAATTACAATTTTTTTCTCTTCATCAAGGGCAGATAACTCTTCAAAAACTTTTAAGGCTGCTTACATGTTATCTGTCATATGAATTTGGTTCATTTCACTGTCATCGTTATCTAGCAATGCATTTTTAACTAGTTTAAGAAAATTGTTCAAAGTCCCGTCATTATACATTGAATACATGTACCTTAATATCAGTGACTTTAAAAAAAAACAAGCAAGATTTTCTTCTAGGAGACGGTTAACCTTACATCTTCAAATAAAACAATGCTTTTGTTCATGGATAATTCAGGAAGTAAGATAAGCACAATTTTGTTTATACAAAAGGTCCAATATAATTACATAATAACATATAGCTATACTGTCGTTGTTGTGACTCGAAAATAACAATCGCAGTTTCTGAATAGACGCTTACATTTTTTACGGAACTTATTATCAAAGAATCCGTAGATTAACGGATTAACAATAAAACTAATGATGTAAATTCGTGCCAGAAACGTCATAGCCACCAGCTTTTCCCTGTCAAGATTGAACCAGAAGTTTGTGACCGCCACCTCTAGAACACGAACGATAACTCGAGGAAGAAGTGAACAGCAATATACTGCCGACATTAAAACAAACATCCAAGTAAATCTTAAAAAGCGAGCTCGCTTGCGTTGAATAAATCTTGTTTGCTTGGCGCGCTTTTTCTTCTTCTTTAGCGTTGTATCGAGGGTATAAATGGTAGATGGCACACAACTTGAATTTTCTGTTTGATCAATATCATCTAGGTAGAAAGTGGATTGTGTTTTAAGGTCTTTTGTGTGACCAAGTATATCTTTCGTGGCAAAAGTAGACAAGGAGAAGGTGCTTGCCGTCAGGTCATCGGACATTTCGTCGATATCGTTGGCGGGAGTCGTTCGAATCGTGGACTGGGCTTGAGAGTACTGTCTCTTGATGCGGACACCGACCAGTGAGTAGGTCACAATAATAAAAACAATACCTCCGACACATAGTGCTGCTATAAACGACGAATACACACTGGACGAGATTTTCAATGTGGGTGACAGTCGCTGGCACTTTGTCGCGTTGATTCCATGCTCGATGTCAAAATAGAAAGTTGTGTCGCTAAAGACTAACGAGGGAAGGGATATAACTAAGCCGGCGACAGCGGTCATTGCAATTGTTTGAGTCTGTGTAATGTGCAAGCGTGAAAAAGGATTACAAACTCTTTTATATCGGTGAAATGCAATTGCAAGCAAAATCATCCCCGAAATAGATGCCGGAAGCAGGCTTGTAAATGTCAAAACCTTGCAGGATAAACTTCCGGGATATCGCAGAGGATATCCATTTTCGATCATGTATTGACAGGATGACGCTAAGGAAGCCATAAAATCCATTAGTGCCAAATAGGGAATGAAGCGGCGGTCGTCTAATTTGTTGGAGAATTTGTAGTCTTTGTAAACAAATAGCACCAAACAGTTACCAAAGGAGCCAAAAAGCATAAACAGAACCAACACGGCCGTGTTTCCAGCCAAAGCAACTACTAGTTCATTTTCATAGTCCAAAATATTATTCGTGTCAACTAAAAAATAACTACCATTAAAAGACATGTTATCAAACATGATTGAAATACGGCTACGAATTCACATCTGAAATTTTCATTGTCCTTTATAACTTCCTCGTGGAGAGATGTAGATAAAGTCCATTTCCTGAAATTGTGCACTTCCTGAAACTGAAATTCTGCATATTCTTAATTAGGGTACTTGTGTTTTATATTATTAACAATTAAGGAAATTATTCATCTAAATGTACAACTTCCTGACTGTTTCATATATATATTTATAAGATAAATTTAAAAAATGAAAATATCACAAAAAATATATCTACATAACACTACAAAGAGAAAAATAAAACATGAATGTATTAAAATTACTAAATTATTCTATGATTTATCTAACAGTTATATACTACTATACACATAACAGGGATACTGTTAGTACAGGAATGAACAAAGTTTTTATATTCTCTGTTGAAATTTCTCGTCACATTATTCGTCTGTTCCTTTGGAAGAACAGCCATAAATCAGTGACGTCACCATTGCCATTCCAGCCGCCCCCACCGCTACCCAGAACGACCATCCAAAATGAACGGGCGCGCCATTCGACACTTTGGCATTTTCATCTTTTGAAGATTTGATTCCGTACACAGCTGTGGCTATTCCCATGCTTAAAACTGTCAAGAAAATTAGAAAAAAAAATGTGTTCATTGATACAGAGTACAGAAAATGTAGCATAAAACCATTAGCGTGAAAAATGTAAAATCGTGACAATTAAATATAGACACTGATGGGAAATAACGCCATGTGATATTTCAATAATACAAAATCATCATTGCACCATTTTATTCTATGTACCAATATATTGGATAATAAGTGCTTCACAAGGATGTCTAAAGATGACTATTTATAATATCTGAGTTATAACCCAATTGTTCTTTCTTTTTATACAATCAAGAACTTGTACTTTTTACTTAATTCATTGAGTTTTATATGATTTTGCATATGTATAAGTGAGATTGTAATTTTTTGCCATCTTATTTATGATAAGTATATTGAGTGTGTCATATGCCAGTAATTTATGTCACATGTAAAAGGGTCCTATTGGAAATAAGCCAGACTGGCTTTCATGGGATATCCTTGGGTTTAGGCTTATAAGATTTTATGTTTATTTGATTTATACATAAGAATTATTACTAAATCTGTTTTAAAATTTTAAATCATTTCTATCCAGGTTTTGATGTGTATACCAATCATAACACAATGTTTATGTAAATTGCCTATTCCTGAATAAAGAAATTATTATTATTAAAAACTATTGTAGCTCAAAATCCTTCAAGAGAACTATCTCATTTTAAACACCATAAAATGTCATCATAAACACTCTCTCCTTCGTTTAATTGTCCACAACTAGTTCTTTAGTTGTTTATCATTAGAATAACTTCCTGGTACTTCAGCATAAACAAAAGTTTCTAAAATTGTATTGAACCGGACACAGGATGCATTGAAACTGTGTATCATTTATATCGAGTGATTTTTAGAAAGATTATGAAGTACTCTTCCGAGACATGTAAAATATAACTTAAGTAAAAAAGTAAACAAAAAAAAAAAACAACCCCAAAGCAAAACAAAAAAAAAAAAAAAAAAAAAAAAAAAACATAAAACATAAAACAAAACAAAAAAGACACATACATACATAAAACAAAAACAAAAAAAGCAACACAAAACTCTTAATTGGATGCATTTTAAAAGAATATCTCTAATCACGAAACAATAAAATCATGTTTTAAGATCATCTTATGAAAACATCTAAGCTAAATGAATTTAAATTTAAAAAGTCTATAAAACTTACACGCCGTTATAAGCAAGCCCGCAACAAATCCTGCATGGTTGCAACTAGTGCATTGGCAACATAAGGCTAGTGTTGCAACAAGGAGTGCAATGAGACACACGGCCAGACCCACAGACATCAAACCCTGGGAGGCGATGACGTAATCTGTAAAAATGTATCAATTAAATCATTATAATCTGTTACACATACATGTACTATTAGAAAACAAAATGCGAAAAAAATAGAAATAGAGAGCAAGAGTACCTGAACTTGGCGTCGATGTTTTTATATTAATTAAGGATAAGAGCTTAAGGTTTGACAACATGTTCCTCAAATATCTGTTTTGTTTATCCTTGTAACATATAAGAAATGTTCATAATATCAACATTATCTTGTGATCTCTAAACTGTTTTCAAAATGTCTTAGAAAATAAATACAACAAAAATTGTGATTTTGACAATTCAAGTGATTTCAAATTGGAATATATAGGAAACACTACCCTCAGGATCTTGCACATATGCCTGGTAAGGTAGCTCAATTTTTGTTGAGGAAACTCGTTAAAGGAACAGTACTTCAATATGACAAATTCTTGGGAAAATTATATATTATTGAGGAACGTGTCGTCTGACCTTAAAGAGAAAAAGTACGTCTCAGTCGTGAGCAGACATTTTTATAGAGTAGTGACTTATTGCAAAAGTGTGAATGATTCCTTTGGTACAAAAGCACTAATTCTCTCAAAAATATTTTTTAGATTGAATTTCAAAATTTATTTTGGCAATTTTTTTATTCAAAAACAATTCTCTTTTTTTGGTATACACGTGTATGTATATAGTTAGTTTTAAACTTTAAAAACTAGTCTTACCCTTATCGCTGGGACTGTAGTCTGATTTTTCAAATACCCATTCACATTTCTGGTCTTCACATTCCGCCCACAAACCTATCGTCTTCGATTCGTAGTTCAGCCAGTAAGGCGTGGCGAAACTGACAATGCAGGCTAAATTGGTCACTACCAGCAAAATTAATCCGGTGATGGCGGTACAGCTGTTCATTCTCAAAAAGTAGGACAAAGAACCCGGTGTCGGAAAACTGAAAGTGACCTCTTGATAGCCAGAGTAAAGTCAAGTCGGCTTTTATTTTCCTCTTCAAAAGTACAGAGTCTGTTATAATTTACCAACTGCTTCAAAACTTCGCATGGTCGACCAACCACTGTGTAATTTAGCAAAGCGTTCCCCTGGAAACGACACAGATTCCGATTGCACGGAATATCTCTATATCATACAGCGTTAGTTCCTTATCTTGTGTTAATCTTCTAAAACTAAATAATCAAGAGATCCCGTAATGAAGTTCCCAGATTATAACGCCTGTAGATGACTGAGTCATTTACACACCACTCATTGCTTGCATCATACACGCTTTATAATAATTTCCACAGAATATAAAAATAATGCTCTTCCGGGTTCTATCCGTTGGAGTCGGCGGAGAATATACTCAAGTTTTGTTTCTTTATTTAGTTTTGAATGTTGCTGTACGTTGCTGAGGATAAAAGGATTTTTTTTTCTAAGAACAATTAAGCCTTGTTGACTCAATTAGTTTTAAGAACTAAATAACAATTCTTAAGGACCAGATCCTTAATTCCAGACGAAATATACTTGAGTAAACACATATATTTGTACGCTATGGACGTTTCTAGTCAGCGAGAGCGAAACCACCCTTGGAGATCTTACTCTGTTTCTCAGCAATTATTTATACTTAATAAACATCGCTTTATTGTTTGTTAACACGAATATTTCTATACTGACTGTAAAATGTAGACGAAAATTAACTATTTCTTGAATATTCATATGAAAAATGAGGAAAAACATATTGGTATATAAATAGTATGTATGTTATGATGATATCATGATTGCCTGTATAAATTAAAAAATGATTTACAAATAAGTATCATAGGATGCATATAAAAAAGTACTTTACTGAAGTCCTTTTGGCACTGCTGATCTTCATTTTTAAAATATCATTACTTTATAATGTATGAAGTACTTTATAGCTAAAAAATTTAACCTTAAATTGTCATTAATATTTTGTATTTCTTAATACAATGATTTTATCGTATAATAACTGTCCCCCCCCCCCTTATTGGATAGAATGAACATGCACAATGTAAAAAATATTATTCGAGAGGTTATCATAAAAGTTCGTGGACTAGCGCCATAAAATTAAAACCGCTTGAGGGACACCTTGATTTTTGACAAATTTAGTTAGCATCATCTTTTCTATCTATAGAATAAAATTTAAATCATAAGTTTAATTTTTAAATAAATTATCATTTTTAGCAATGGTCTGACCAGGCAGCGAAACATCAAAATACGACGAATTTCCAACCTAAGTCTATCGGAGAAAAACTTTTTTTAATATCAGTATTTGTCATCCAATAATCACTTTAATTTACTTATGTCTTACAATACAATTGTTCTGTAAAATTTGCAACTTTTACCTCTTCTGTAAAGTCTATGAAATCTTATCGTAAATTTTATATGGAATACCCAAACAAATATAAGGGATTAAAAATAACGAAGGGGGGGGGCATGCTTTCCCCCATATCATATAAAGTTTATTACCTGAAAAAATGGCATAGACTCAGGAATTGTTTAAACAGGCTTCAGAGAAATAAAATGTATTTTAAGTACCTGTTTTTAAATCCCGATAAAATTCTGAGAGAAGAGAGATGCAAATTTAATGTCGATTTGTAGTCCCGGTGTCCAAAGTCAGTCACGTCGAAAAGTGACGTTGCTCATGATCGGTATACATTTAATTCCGACAACCAAATTATGCTGGCATAATCTTTTTTTCTGCAATATATTGCATTGAAATCAGGTGAAAAGTTATATAAGAAGACGGGTTACATTCTACATAACTCCAGGAAATCTCATCAAGAGGAGAGTTTTGAGACAGAGGAAGCGGACATTGAGAAACAATGACGTCGTCGGACGTCAACGGCGACAGAATCGGGTTATAATATAATGTCTTTTGTATTTAATGATAATTTGGCGAATTATCAACTATCTAGCTAAAATTTTCAGCACATCTTAAACTTTTAATGTTTTATGTTCCTGATAAATTTTGTAAGCACCGACCATATAGTGTCAATTTAATCGCATCAGTCCACGAACTTTTTGATAACCCCTCGTACATGTATATTGCATTCAGAGTAAGATTGTGAATTTATCGATGAAACAATAATTACCCTTTGCACAAATATTTTAATTTGCATTAAAATTTCAATAGTGGAATTAGGTATATAATATGATTTTTTTTTTTAAATTTAGCAGTTGAAAAAAAATTCGTTCTAATTTTTTCCCCACAAAATTTTCAACCAAGTTATACATTTAGAACATGGTTCTGCAAACAGATGTATTGAACAGTAAGTTTTGCTTTTAAGGAATCTTAAATAAATCCCGATTATAGTTCTTTATAACTGATGTGTCTTGTATTTGTTTTATTTTAGAAGATTCTTGAGTCCATTTGTATGTGAATGTTTAGACTTAAGTAATGTTCAAGAATGTTTTCAGAATTTACATATGTATATTTATTTGTTTGTTTGTTTACTGACCTTTCGAGATTTTTTTCATATTAGGACGTCACTGCTTGTCGGTTGAAAGCTGCAAATTCAGACCACTATTCGGCACTTATGGGCATTGGGCAGTGAGGGATCTTTATCATATCAGCACCTAATGCGACATGGGACCTCTGTTTATACTGTCTCATCAGGCAGTGGACAGTGAGGGATCTTTATCATATCAGCACCTAATGCGACATGGGACCTCTGTTTATATTGTCTCATCAGGCAGTGGGCAGTGAGGGATCTTTATCATATCAGCACCTAATGCGACATGGGACCTCTGTTTATACTGTCTCATCAGGCAGTGGGCAGTAAGGGATCTTTATCATATCAGCACCTAATGCGACATGGGACCTCTGTTTATACTGTCTCATCAGGCAGTGGGCAGTGAGGGATCTTTATCATATCAGCACCTAATGCGACATGGGACCTCTGTTTATACTGTCTCATCAGGCAGTGGGCAGTGAGGGATCTTTATCATATCAGCACCTAATGCGACATGGGACCTCTGTTTATACTGTCTCATCAGGCAGTGGGCAGTGAGGGATCTTTATCATATCAGCACCTAATGCGACATGGGACCTCTGTTTATACTGTCTCATCAGGCAGTGGGCAGTGAGGGATCTTTATCATATCAGCACCTAATGCGACATGGGACCTCTGTTTATACTGTCTCATCAGGCAGTGGGCAGTGAGGGATCTTTATCATATCAGCACCTAATGCGACATGGGACCTCTGTTTATACTGTCTCATCAGGCAGTGGGCAGTGAGGGATCTTTATCATATCAGCACCTAATGCGACATGGGACCTCTGTTTATACTGTCTCATCAGGCAGTGGGCAGTGAGGGATCTTTATCATATCAGCACCTAATGCGACATGGGACCTCTGTTTATACTGTCTCATCAGGCAGTGGGCAGTGAGGGATCTTTATCATATCAGCACCTAATGCGACATGGGACCTCTGTTTATACTGTCTCATCAGGCAGTGGGCAGTGAGGGATCTTTATCATATCAGCACCTAATGCGACATGGGACCTCTGTTTATACTGTCTCATCAGGCAGTGGGCAGTGAGGGATCTTTATCATATCAGCACCTAATGCGACATGGGACCTCTGTTTATACTGTCTCATCAGATAGACACGTCCCAATTTACATATGGAAAAACGCACAGGTGATTGAGGACACCCCCCCCCCCCCATATAGTCCCTGTTTCGACTTCTTTCTCATAAATTTTATAAATGTGTTATATCTGAGAAAAAGTGGAATTGCAAAACATCAATTGGTACTTCAAGATTGTGTGTCGTGCGGAGAAATCGTGTAAATACAGTTCTTTTATAAGTAAGTAAGAAAATATTTTATTATAGTGACATGTGTATATATTCCAATACAATAATAGATACAATAGTAACATATATACATTACATTACATTATTTTTGTCTTACTGAAAAGCATAAAGGATGACTGCACTTAACGCCGGCTTTTGGGTCTTAAATTTCGGTCGCTTCTGTTGCTTTATATCTTAACCTCATTTTACTTTTGCATATATAGAATGAAGCGCATTAAAGTGGTAAAATTTGTCATTTGAGTAGAAAGTGTGTGTGTTTCTTATCGAACGTCAATTGTTTCATAACGACACGCCCATTTCTTTAGAAACGAGAAAGAAAATCGTATTGCTTTAAGACACTTTACTCTCTGCGACTAGCAACACGAGTTACACTGAAATGGAAATTTTATAAAGTTAGAGGAGGAGAGTTAGAGACCCCTTTCTGTAAAACACGTATTGCAACGAATATGTGTACATAATTAGGAATTTATCGTTTATTGGAGTTACCACAACAGATGTATCTATCGAACACGTGTTTACTCGGTGTTATGTAGACTGTCAATTTGATTGGCCACTGTATTTACAGAATACCTGTTCTACAGGTATTCGAGTGAACCATTTGACCGTTTTGTCATTTCTAAAGAAATGGGCGCGTCATTATTTAAGAAATGAATTTATTTTTTGAAGATTCATGAGGACATAAACTACGACGCTTCACGCCGGCATATTTCATGAAGCGCTTTAGCGCTGCATGATACACTGTAAATATGCCGGCGTGAAGCGTTATAGTTCATGTACCTTATAAATTTTCTAAAATTAAATTCATTTCTTATATTTACATTATTTTTCTGATGAGTTGCCACAAATTATGCCATTCAACTGTCATTTTTAAAGCAAAAATCAGTTCGCACTATAGTGTTGAGGTCAAATAGGGTATTATGACGTAACAATGGAGATATTCATGCTCATCCATGGTAGTTCATGAGAAAATGAACTGTTTTCTGTTTTGTAAAAAATCGTAGGGGGAATTTATTGGAAATGTAAATATATGACAATCAACGTTCTAAATAAAGCCCAAAACGATCCATTCAATCGGAAAATTTTAACATTTCAATGCGCTTCATTGTATTTAAGACTCCTGTCAATTTGGAACCAAATGTAAATGTTAAAATGATTTTAGACTGTGAAACAATAAAAAAAATCTATGTTTTCTTTTTCCTTACCTGCTTCCAAATATAGAGAATTAACACCTACCTGCCCTTGACTGAATATTATATATAAATGCATGAGAGGTAGAGGTAACATTGCAGGAATGGGTCTAATATTAGACTAGATAAATAACAATGGCTTGTATTTAAAAAGAGTGGCCACTCTTTCCCATCTCCCTCTCTATCCTGTATGGCACAAGTATACTATTTACAAAGGTTTCAAAACG